CAGAGTGTGGAGGGAAAGGTAGAATCCCCACTGAATAGTTTTCACCTTGTTTAGATGAGTCTGGTGAAAAGAGATGGGGATAAGATTCTTATGATTGAACAGTGATTAATTATTATCATGACTAACAGAAACTATCACAACTGTAAAGGTAGAAGTTTTATAACAAAAAAGTGGTATTAGTTAATCTTCCAGACCAGGAAGAGAAGACGCTAGGACCATCAAAGGAGAAGAGCATGAGCAGAATGTGGGACACCATCCAGAGAAGCAGTGACACCAGAGATGGAGACAGAAATGAGAGCATGGAGAGAGCAGCTGAGGACTCTAGACTCAGGGAAAGAGAAAGGCTATGTGCTGGTGGCCAGGTGCTGATGGCAAGGAGGCAGACTTGCAGAATGTGTCCTTTGTTTAAATGATTATATATTCCCCAGTGATTTTGTGTCCATCCCCTCCTCCATCCCCTCAACAAAAACAAAAATAGAAACAAATACTGTTGAATGATGATGCAGAGGAGACTGTAATCATTGCAATGAAACAATGAGTGTAAAACTGATGTTCCCCCATGTAAACTAATCACTCAGTTCACAATAAAAACTTAAAAAAAAAAAAAAAATCCATGAAGCAACACAAGAAACTATCTATCTATCTATCTATCTATCTATCTATCTATCTATCTATCTATCTATATACACAAAAAAAAGATGTGGTGGGAAAGAGCAAATACTTAATTGCATAATCTCATTTTTCATACAAAGAAAAATGCCTCTGCATAAACATAGGCATTCTCTAGAAAGATGTATCAAAACGTTGTTAAGTGTCACTGAGTCGGTTCCAACCCATAGCGGCCCTGTATAGGGTTTCCCAAGGAGCAGCTGGTGAACTTGAACCTTGCAGTTCAAATGGCTTTGCAGTCTGACACATTAACAGTGCATTAATAGCGATTATACCTGGATAATTTTAGGAAATTGTACTAATGTGTGACCAGTAGGCTTGCACTCAGCATTCATTCCAAACTCCTTGTATGCCTCCCATTGCTGCACAGACTAGAAACTGAAGAATGAATTTCCCAGACTTCCTTACAGCAACGTTCATGTTTTAAGCTCTGTTGCTTCAGCTATTTGGAGGGTGACATATTTGGCCATGGTGATGTGCCCTGGAGTCGGTTCCAACTCTTAGCAACCCTGTAACAGAGTTTCCAAGGCTGTAAATTTTTACGTGAGCAGAAAGCCTCATGATTTTAGTTCATTCCAGTGTAGTCACTGTGTGTTAACAGGTACTCCGTCAATTTCCTCATTTCTGGAACATAGCTATGGCAGCATTTTCAAAACGAGAGAATTCCAATGGTGGACTGGCTCTAGAACTGTTGAAGACATAACATGTTTTTCTGGGAATCATTTCTGGAGATGTAAACTTGAACCCATGCCTCCAAATCCTGCAATGACTTTTTAAAGAACTAAGCAGTTCTTTAAAAAGTCCTGGTGTGGCACTCTAATGTGTTCAACTGCAAAGTCAGTCTGAACCACAAGACTGGTGGTTCAAGTTCACCAGCTGCTCCTCGGAAACCCTATATAGGGTCGCTATGGGTCAGAACCGACTCAACGGCACTTAACAACAAATAGTTTTGAAACTCCCAATATCAATCCCCATCCCTCTTAAAACAGTGTGATTCCTGCAACTCATTACTGACATAAAATGAAAAATTATGTATCACTAAGTTACCAAGTAATATACACTACATAAACCCACTTTGAAGTATGGGTGAGCAAAAACGTACATACAAACAGAACAAAAAGGATCACTAATTACACTGAAATGTTAATGTGGTCATCCTGATTGTCCCTGATGGCAGTCCTATGGGTAATTTTAATTTGTGTTTAACTTACCTATTTTCTCTAGTTTTATTTTTTAGGGGAAAACCTTAAAAGCCTTCCCCCTCTCCCCCCAAAATACCCCAAAATCGTACTATTGGGAAAAAAAATTTGTGAATACATTCAGAATGTTATAGGCAAACACAAAAATACTCTAAAGAGATTAATTTGTATCTAACACACAATATACTCAAAGTATGCAATAAAGGAGTAGCAAAAGTATACGATCCCAACACAAACATATGTCCATGCTGAGGCACATGTGAGCTGACTGCTAGTAAAAGGGTAACTGTCTTGGAAAACTAAACAGGAGGAGACACTAGACAGTGCCCCCACTGATGGCAAGCATTTCATTGTTTATAATAGCAAAAGTGCATCTTTTAGAATTGACTAGCTATTTTTAAAGGTATAAAAGTGAATCACTTGCTCAATCATTAAATGAGATTTTAGAAAAGGCTAAAGATAAAGATAAAGGAGCTCTGGTAGCGTAGTGGTTACGAATTGGGCTGCGAACCTTAGGGTCAGCGGTTCAAAACTACCAGCCGCTCCGCGGGAGAAAGATGAGGCTTTCTACTCCCGTAAAGATTTACACCCTCGGAAACCCTGTACAGGGTCGCTATGGGTCGGAACCGACTCGACAGCACTTAACAACAACAACAACAAAAGATAAATTAATAAAGGAGACTTCCCACATAACTAGCATTTCTTATTTCTAGGTTGCTCTTTATTCCTCCAGTTTCTATCAGCAAGTTTTGCATTGAAATCAACTCAAAGGCAACTAACAAGCTTCATGCCTTAATTTCAAACTGACAGTACACAGGACCCAGACAAGGTCAAGTCATACTTCTTTATTTACTGGCAGAAACAACCATATGGCGTTAACAATGCATTTACAATCATCAAAGGAGCAGCATATAAAATAAACCATATAAGCTATGGAAATTCTATCAAGATTTATTAGAATTAGATAAGAAAAAAATCCATACCTCTATTGACATGGTTAATAAAGCTATGTCTTAAATAAGCAGTTTGATACTGTTGACTCTTAATAAGTGTCTGTCAATGATAAGTTTTAAATTTTGATGATTTCTAAGTTTAAATCATTTTTTTCATGATTATTGCTTTCTTTGACCTAAAAAACCTTTGGCTACCCCAAAATCACAAAGATAATTTGCATTTTCCTCTAAAAAGCTTTGTATTTTACCTTCATTTAGGTTTATGATCCACATCAAATTCATTTTTGTGCATGGTATGAAGGGGTCAATGTTCATTATTTTCCATATTCTATTGTTCTCACTCCATTTCTTCAAAACATTTTCTTTTCATGTTGAATTGCTCTACCACCACTGTTGAAAATTAAGTGACTATACAAATGCAGATCTACTGCTGGGCGCTCTTTTTCATTAAGGCTCTTTCCTTTAGTTCATTGATTTATGTGTTGATCTTTATACCATAGTATCTTGATTACTGGTATTAGTGCTGTAGAATAAGCAATGGACCACAAGGATGGTTTAAACTGGAAGGTCGGCATTTCAAATCTACCAGCTGCTCCTTGGAAACCCAATGGAGGGTAGTTATGAGTTGGAACCGACTCCATGGCACTAAACAACAACACTTCTCTTAAGGATTATTTACTCTTTGAATTGCTTTACAAAACAGAAGCCTCTATAAAAGAGGGCATAAAAGTAACACTGAAATAAATTAAGGGGATTTAGATGTACCTTAAATAATCCTTAGAAACCATTTTCTAAAAACTGTATCATGGTTTTGAAATACCCCATAATTACTACTGTAGCCAGAGCAAATTAAATTTCTGAAAATAGCTGAAAAACAAACAAACAAAAAATCTTCCTTAACATCAGTTGAAAGTATGTAAACAGGGAAAGCATTTCATTACTTTTTCTATTCAGTTTCTCAATAGGTTTTTTCATATTAGCTCTAAGTCATTCAATACCACCACAATGTAGTAAGCTTTTAAACAACCCTTAAAAATTCATGCTTAAGATTTGCCGTAATAAAATGTTAAAAAGTCATGTATTAACTTCAGAAACATCCTTATTAAATTAAAAAAAGGGGGGGTAGTTTCCTTTATGAAAAAAACACTTACGAAATTTTCTTTAAACTTTGATTTGGAAAAGATTAGAAGCAAGAATACAATACTGTTTTATACAACAAAGAAACAAAACACAGCAATTACCAAAACCAGTAATAAACTCCATTGTGTGTAACCTGGACATGATTTTTAGAAACTTGAGCTGTGCTAATTTTGTTCAAACTGAGACAGAATGATTCCCTCATCTAGTTTTCAAAGCAGGTAGCCTGAACTGCCAAACCTCTCTAAATAATATTTTTATAAAGACACAGTGTAACAGATTGCAAAACAATGTGAAACTGAGAGTAACAATATCTGCACAATTTGTTCTGAATCTAGAATTTTGGTTGGAAGCATAATAGTTACATCTTCATGAAACAATTCCATAATAAATAAGTAAATAACCCCAAACATTTTAAGAAAGTTGGCTAAAATAAAACCAGGACACTCATTACCTTTTCTATTGGCAGCATGAAAATCACTAGAAATTAAACTTTTGTCCTTTTCAAATGAGCTGCTTTAAAAATCATACTTTTTCAAATAATTAGTATAGAAGATAAACAAAATTCAGCTTTAAAATCCCATAACATTTAAATATCAAAGATAGAGATGGTTTTCCCAAAATTAATGATGAGAAGAAGTGAGAGATTCAGCTCCTTACACGTACACATTTTCCAGAGTTTAACTGAACTAAATGATCAAAAGGTTAATTAGAACAATTACAGGTAGAGAATGCCATTTGTGCCTTTTTTTTGGGTTATTACATCAGTTATATATCCAAAGAACCAACAGGAATTCTCAGATACAATGTCAAATAATAGAATTTGAGCAAACAACTCTTAACATCACTTTTATTTAAAATACACTACATGCACATGATGCAAGTAGGAAAAAGTTTATGAATCCATGCATTGAAGACAAGACAGACTGGTGCTATTGTCAAACGTGCATTGGGCCATTTAGGATGTTGTTCAAAGTTTGTAATGGTTTCCATGAAAGTAAGTGCAGAATCAGAACTGTATATATATCCCAAAGCATCCTCTTCATTTTGTTTCCTGAGCTTTCTTTGCATTCTGTTTCTCTTTTGCCTAGAAATGAGATAGTGAGTGTTAGGTTATAAAATCAGAAAAGTCCGTTTAAATGCTATTAAGATAAAATGTGTATGTCTAAGCCAAAGGACTTCAAATGAACTATGTATAAGAAAACTAAAGCATATTTTATCATTTGAACATTATAATAAATTACCATATTTTTGCATATAAACCACCCATGCAGATAATATGCACATGCATATGTGCATCGGAAACTAATAAGAGCGGATTGTTGAACTTACAAAAACCACATAAGATGTGCATTATATGTATAAAGATATGGTACCACTAAGGAACTCTGGTAGTATACTGGTTAAGAGTTGGGCTGTTAACCTCAAGGTCAGCAGTTTGAAGCTACCAGCCATTCCATTGGGGAAAGATGAGGCTTTCTGCTCCTGCAAAGATTTACAGCCTCAGAAATCCTATGCAGGGTCACTATGGGTTGGAACCGACTCCATGGCACATCACCACTACTACTACCACCACCACCACCACCACCACCACCACCACCACCACCATGGTATTCCTGGGCAATTATATAGCTATGCTTTAGTCTTACTGAGAAAAAAACTATGTTTACTTTACAGTTCTTTCTTATCTGAAGTTGAAGTGTATTTTTATCATTGTAATTAAAATATATATCTTTATTCCATATTCATACACATTCATGAATTTTCAAAAAACATATTTATATATCTGCCCATTTCTCAGCAAATACAGGGTAAAAAAGATACTACTTAGGCTTCTGAATATTGGAGTTATGGTTCAAATAAGGTTAACATAACAATGTTACTCACGGCTGGCTTACAAGTTTTCAAGAATGTGCTAAGTTTCAGAGTGAGGGGAATAGGGTAGAATGCCAGCTGAACAATTTACCTCTTGTCTAGATCGGTTTGGTAAAAGGAGATATGAGAGGATTGGGCTAAGATTCTTTTGATTCAATATTGAGTAATTGTTATCATGACTAACTGATTATCACAATTGTAAAGGTAGTAGTAGTTGTAATAGTTAGGTGCCCATCGAGTCAGTACCGACTCATAGAGAACCTATGAACAACAGTATGAAACACTGCCTGGTCCTATAACAACCTCACAATCTTTGCTACATTCGAAGCCATTGCTGCTGCCACTATGCCAATCCATTTTGTTGGGGGTCTTCCTCTTTTTCTCCGACTCTCCACTTTACCAAACATGATTATTTTCCTCCAGTAACTAGTCCATCCTGGCAATATGTCAGAAGTATGAGGGACAAAGTCTGGCCATCCTGGCCTTCAAGGAGCACTCTGGCTGTACTTCTTCCAACACAGATCAGTCTGTTCTTTTGGCAGTCCATGGTACTTTTAATATTCTCCTCCAACACCATAAATCAAATGTATTAATTCTTACATGGTCTTCTTTATTCATTGTCCAGCTTTCGCATGCATATGAGGTTACTGAAAATACCATGGTTTGTGTCAGGCACACCTTAGTCTTCAAACTGACATCTTTGCTCTTGAACACTTTAAAGAGGTCTTGTGCTGCTAGCAGATCTGCCTAAAGCAAAATGTTATTTGATTTCTTGTCTGCTGCTTCCATGAGTGTTGATGGTTGATCAGAGCAAAAATGAAATCTTTGACAACTTTCAATCTTCTCTCCATTTATATGGATATTTTGTATTGGTTCAGCAGTGAGGATTTTTGTTTTCTTTACATTAGAGATGTGATGTAAAGGTAGAAGATGTGGAACAAAAAGAGGGGAGTAGCTTATTTTTCATTCCAGGAACAGAGGACCCTAGGGCCATCAAGAGGGAAGAGCATGAGTAGAGCATGTGATCCTAACCAGAGAAGCAGTGGCCCCAGAAACAGAAGTAGAGGTAATGGCTTCGAGACATAGAGCATCTGAGGACTCTAGACCCATGCAGAAAGGCTGTGTGCTAGAGAGCAGGAAGCTGACTTACAAATGTACCCTTTACTGTTTGGTTGCTTAAATGAATATATATTTTCTGTGTGTTTTGTGCTTATCAAAAAAAAAAAAAAAAAAACAGAAGTTCTATCATGCAATCTCCAGCATCACTTCTACCACCAAGGCCATTATTTTCCAATGACTGATCCTTCCTCTTTGTTTCCAACCTTTGTATTCCAATCACCAGTAATTATTAATGCACCTTGATTTCTTATTTGATCAATTTCAGATTGAAGAAGTTGGTACAATCTTCAATTTCATCAACACTGGATTTAATAGATGGTGTATAAATTTGAATAATAGTGGTATTAACTGGTCTTCCTTGTATGTAGGCAGGTGAATATTACCCTATCACAGACAGTATTATACTTCAAACTAGATCTTCTTTTTGATGATGAATTTGATGCCATTCCTCTTCAATTTTTCATTTCCGGCATAGTAAACCATGTGATCCTCAGATTCAAAATGGCCAATACCAGTCCATTTCAGATCACTAATGCCTATTTTGTAATGCCTAGGATTATCAATGTTTATGCATTCCATTTCAGTTTTGGCAACTTCCAATTTTCAGAGATTCATACAATTCATTCTCTGTTTATTAACTGATGTTTACAGTTGTTTCTCCTAATTTTCAGTTGTGCCCCTTCAGCAAATTAAGGTCCCAAGGGTTTAAGTCCATTGTCATCACCATGGTCAACTGTACTTTGGGGAGGTAGCTCTTCCCCAATGGCATTGTGCCTTCCAAACCAAGAGGCTCATCTTCTGGCATTATTTTTGACAATATTCTGGTGCTATTCATCATGTTTCAATATTCAGTATTTTGGTGCTACCTAACAGTGTTTCGTTGCCATTCATAAAGTTTTCAATGGCTAAACATTTGGAAGCATTCCATCTCTCCCTCTCCTTCTTCCAAATCTGTCTTAATCTTGAAGTTCAGCTGAAGCCTATCCTGACAGGGTAACCCACCTGTCATTTAAAATACCAGTGACATAGCTTCCATCATCACAGCAACACACAAGCCACCAGAGTGTGACAATTTTGACAGATGAACACTGGATGGATACATGGTTCCCAAATTTTTCTTCCAATCTATATGTTGTCTTTTCACTTTTTGTTAATTAAATTCTTCGATGAACAAAATTATTTAATCTAAGGGCTGTCATATCTGATAATCCATCATTAAAAACTAGGTCCCACAGCCGTTTTTTCTCTCTAAGAATGTTATTGGGTTTACTTTTCACATTTAGATGCTTGATCCATTTTGAAATGGTTTTTGGGACTGGTGTGAAGCACAGATCTTGATTCGTTCTTCTGGATGTGGAAATCCCATTTCCCCAGCACCGTTTACTGAAGAGATACTTATTTCCCACTTTGAATGGACTTAGTACCCTTGTCAAAAAATCAGCTAACCATAAATGTGTGGATTTATTTTTGTATTTTCAATTTTATATCATTGGTCTACATGCCTGTTATTATACCAGTAATGAAATATTTCCATTACTGTGGTGAGCTTATTTATATTTAAAAAGCATTTTTCCACATTATTTGAGTTTTATGAAAATTGTACAAGCTTTAATGCTAGTTATATTTTCACTCTTTTCCAGATGAGGAAACCAAACCTCACAGATTATTACTGACCTCAACCAATATCATACAACTAGCAAAACTTCAATCAGAGGTCAAAAGATACATGTCCTACAACAGTACCTTTCAGTATATATAATAACCTGGGAATCCTGCTCAAATGTACACTGATTTCGTAAAATGCCCGAAATTCTGAATTCCTATTGCATTCCCAGGTGATGCCGTTCCTTTGACCCCTTTGAAAAGCAAGATTTAGAGTACTAAAGTACACTGTTCTTTTATGACACTTGAATCAGAAAGAAACTAGTAAATTGGACTTTTGCTATTATACAATCAATAAGAAATAGGATAATTAGAACAATTATAATATTTGTATAATGCATTAGGTAATACAATTACTATATAACAATATGATGAAATTAAGAGCTGTGCCTTAGGGTTAATATATTAAGAACAAATATATAATATGGTAAATCAACACTGCAAGCAAAATTTATAATTTAGTATATCTACAATATCTCACAGGTTAATGCTAAAAAAGAACTTTTCTGTTTTTTAATCATGAAAATACAATTTGATTTGACCTAACTAAAATGAAACATGTACTTTACTTATTGATCTCTAGATATATGTAACATGTTTAAACAAGAATGTTTTTACTGGTCTATGATGTAACATGATAACATAATGTAATTAATTATCAAACACATAATACAGAGAGTATCCATACATTCATTAACCTGTAAAACCAAGAGTAAAATTAAGAGATGCATTAAATAAGTTAAAAAATAATTACCGCCATTGAGTAATTACTATGTACTTTATAGACATTATTTCATTTATTCCTCAAGGATATGAAATACATTTAGTTATCAATTTACAGATGAGGAAACGAGGCTCTAAGAAAGTAAATAACTTGCCCACAAGTACTACCTTAATAAGTAACACAACTAAATCCAAAGGCTATTCTGTTCTACATTTATTTAAAAAAACAAAAACAAAAAAAACTTTCTTTCTTAGTAGCATTCCAGTGAGCAACTGAAAATTACTGACTCATGTCTAGATAATTCTGTGATCATAGATATTAATGTACATATTTTGTAAATAATTTAACTATTGTTCTACCTAATTTCTATTAAGGGATACAAAAGGTTACTGCTGAAAGTTATTTATTACCAATTGAATCATAATGTCTTAGTAAACTAGGGACAAAATTCAGTATTGTGAAGTTGCTTTGGAACCCCACAGCAAAAGAATCTATGATTTTCCCTTTTGGTAGGTTCTGAAGCTGACCAGGTTTCAGTGAAGTCTCCCTATTAAGATGGACTAAGAATGAAGGCCTGATGAACTACTTCTGAAAAATTATCCAATGATAACCTTAAGGATCCAACTGGTAATCAACTATGGGAATAGCTTAATACCAGTCAGTGTTCCTTCCATTCCATTGAGTATTGGGTTGGCATGAGTTGGTGGTGAATTCACCAACAGCTTATAATAATAATTGGTGGTTATAAAAAGCTCAGGAAAGACAATAAAAACAGATTTAAAGGATGAAATTAAATTATAAAATATATCTGAATACATAAAAATTTGATAAATAGAATCTTAACCTAGCTGATTTTATTTTATATTTTAAGAAACAGATTTTGAATATAGCGTATAAAGTTTTATAATTATATATTTTTAGTTTACCTTTTTTTATAATGTACACTTAACACATCAGATAAGAACAGAAGTATCATATAACAAAACCATTTATAAGAGATCTACTTTGACCTAAAAACTAATTAATTTGGGAGAATCAAAGTCCTCACACTTCATTTTTCTGCAAAATGAGAAAATTTCTATGGCTGAAATACTTCCATGCCATCAATTGCTTCAAATGCTCAGAAGTCTGATCTTGTATAAGCTTGGCACTGCCTATAGAAGTCACCTTTACTTTACTGCGTGGATCCTTCCACTTCTTTCACATTTTGTTTCTTTATTTTACTATCCCTTAAAAATAATGATTCCAATTCAATAATCCATTTCTGAATTTCTGTTCATTATTTAAGAGTAAAGTAGTAATACTTCTATCATTATTAAACCCTTCAACCTATGTATAACTATAAAACCTAATCTTAAATATTTGTACATATATTCTAGCAGTTTTTACAACCTGCTTTATATTCTAACATTTGCATTATCAGCAGAACATGATATATCAATACTTTTTTTTCCAAAAGACAAACAAAAAATAAATATTTTAATTACAAGTACAGATTTTAAATCTCATGGATGTAAAATTTAAAATGACTAAAGTCCTGGTGTGGTGCTATTGGATAAGTACTGGACTACCAACCACAAGGTAAACAGTTCAAACCCACCAGTCTCTCCCCAGAAACCCTACACAACAACAATAATAACAGGGTCACTATGAGTTGGAATCGACTCAACAGCATTTAACAGCAAAAAAGCTATTTAGTCCCTAGATGGTACAAATGTTCAAATGCTAGACTACTAACCTAGAGGTCCACATTCAAATCTACCCAGAGGCTCCTTGGAAGTGGTGTTGTTAAGTGTCGTCGAGTCAGCTCTGACCATAGTGAGCCTGAATAGGGTTTCCGAGGAGTACCTGGTGAGCTTGAACCACCGACCTTGCAGTTCAAATGGCTTTGCAATCTGGCGCATTAACCCACAGCACCACACCAGGACTCCTCCTTGACAGTAAAACCTGGTAATCCTAGTCACCGACTTGAAAACCCAATGGAACAGTTCTACTCTGTATATATGAGGATACCACTAATTCAACAGCAACTAAAAATAACATTAAGTTATTTATGTCCCTGGGTGGTGTAAACAGTTAACACATACTCAGCTGCTAACGAAAAACTTGGATTCAAGTTGACGCAGGAGAACAAAGGCCTGGATACTATTTCTGAAAAGTTGATCACTAAAAATCCTATGGAGCACAGTTTTATTGTGACACACATGGGCTCAACATGAGTTGGAGTCCACTCAATTAACAACTAATTATTGACCTGGAGGAGAAATTACCTATTCTATATAAACCTAAGCCTCTCCCTCACTTTCTCCTCCTAGGAGCAGATATTGTATATATTCAAGAAATAAACGTATCTCAATAATGTTGATATTAACATTAATTGTAAAAACAATTTCAAAAAATAGGCAAAGCTAAAAGATCGCCAACTATCCCTTCTCAGTAAAACAAATACAAACAAGAGCAGACCATTCCACTATAACTAAGCATTCATATACTGCCACCTTGTGTCCAAATAATATGAATTAAAGAAATTCAGTTCAGATGCAAATGCTCAAAAGCTATTGTTCACTATGTATGGTCTCACAAAAACCTGGGGATCCTGGTGTGGCTGTAGGATAAGCACAAGACTGCTAACCACAAGATCAGCAGTTCTAACACCAGCCACTCCTAAGAAACCCGTACTATGTCGTTTACAAGTAGGAACCAATTTGACAGCACTCAACAGCAATAACATATTGTCACTGAAATAAACAGTATTTACAGACCAATTTTAGAGCAAAATTTATACATTTAAAATATATACATTTGTCTTGTCCCTAATAACATTTATTTATACTTAAAATCTGTTAAGAAATGCCATATGATTTATTAACACAACATTCTATATTATTATGTTTAATATTTTCAACATAGAAATATTTCACAGTGTTTTATACAAAGAACATCATGTCTAGTTACTCTGCTACCCAAGCATTTCAAGAACCACAAGGCATTCATTGTTCATCTGAACTTTAAATACTAGAAGTCAGGACAAAACTATTTTAGTGTCCATGTAATAAGATACATACAGAAATCTCATTAATTCATATATACTATTAAAATTTTATGATAACATGAAACAGCTGGGTTGAAATGTAACTTTGCATAGTAAGCTTTAAAATTAGTAAAAAAAAATAAATAAATACCTACCATTGTGGTATTTTATCAAAGTAATGTAGTAACTTCTCAACGTGTTTCTTAAAATGTGAAATACAACCCAGCTACATTAGAATCACTGGAAGAATTTATTAAATATTCCATATCCCTATATCAGAATCTCTGGAGAGGGGCCAGGTAACATGTAATTTAGAGTATCCAGTGAGGGTCACTCTGAGAAATACTGATTTATAGCACAAAACTTAAAAATGATGTAACTACATTTCATGAATTCAGCAAATGATTTATTAAATGTCACTTATGGATCAAAAGCAATCTTAGAAATCTGATTTTTCATTCAGTGGAAAGGATACTAAACTAGGAATTAAAAAAGCCATTTCTTGCTCCAGGCTAGGATTTTTTGGGTTTTTCAAATTTGTTTCCTTTTCGTTTTCTTTTTTCTCCTCAATGTCCATTCTAGTTCAAACTTTTATGAGTTCAAGTCATAACTTTTCTCTATTAAAAATGGAAAAAAATCTATTTCCAATATTAACATTAACATTTTCAACTTACAGAGAGAATAGTATTCTAAATTTTATTTTAATATAACCAAAAAGAAAAAGTTACGCACTTTTAATACCAAATCAGAGCAATGCCACAGGAATGGCCACTTTTTTCTCCTAAGGAAGCACTGGAGGGTCCGAACCGAAGACCTTTAATTAACGGCCAAGTGTTTAACCACCGGGCAACAATACAATCTTAAGTTTCTGACAATCAGAATTCTGGACATATAAAACAGTGGCACAATCCTTTATTGTTATCTTACAATACTTCTAGTGATCTAACTCTCATCTAAAGTATAAAACAACAGGCAAAAGCAAATAAGTAAGTTTAAAATTTTTTTATATATGTTAAACAAAAAAATTCATGTTTCTGGAAAATACATACCTTTTCTACTAGTGGTATTAGCTGCTGGTGCTCGGCTAAAGTCTTTAGCAATTCCATAATGAAAGGCAGATAATTATGCTTCCTCCTGATATTTTCAATCTAAAATTAAAATAAGTATCAAACCATGCTAAGTATACATTTCTACAATTGTTTTTAAAGTTTTATTTTTTGCATACAATTCAAGATATAAATGGGATAGAATAAAAATCATTATAAAAATATGAGATTCAGTTCCCATAGCAAAGAGACTAATATAAAACATGGAAAGAGTTTCTTGAACTTGACTCCCTAGGCTCAGTTTGGCAAACAACAAAAGCTTTTAAAAGTAAAATCTAAGATTACTTATACTTAATTTATGAGAGCAAATGTGTAACACTTTTGCTGCATACATGTTAGTAATCACAGCAAGCCTAATAAGATCAGCTTTATTTTGTGACCAAGATTAATTTCTTTTTTTGAGATTAAGTTTTAATCAAAAGAGGGCAGTATTGGGAATAATATTTATTTCAATGGAACACTATGAATCAGGAACACACCATTCCAAATTATGTGAGTGCAGCCTTTCATTGCCATTGAGCTATTTTACAACACTAAGTTATACAGAAGTGATAGTAATGGAAAACAATTCTTGTCTAATGACACGAAGATTGTTGTTATGTGCTGTGGAGTCGGTTCCAACTCATAGCGACCCTGTATAGGATATTCCAAGGCTGAAAATCTTGATAGGAGCAGAAACCCTCATCTTTCTCCCACGGAACAGCTGGTAGTTTCGAACTTCTGTCCCTGAGGTTCCATAACCACTACGCTACCAGAGCTCAATGTGTGCAGATACTGCTAAACAATTCTCATCTTCTATAGACATGAAAATACAGTCTCTGTTTGGTAAAGGTTCATTCAATTAACTTAATTTTCTCCCACTAGGAAAACAAAAAACCCCTAAAAAAAACAGCTTCCATTTATTTGTACATTCATTTCAATAGTCCTTTACTTCATATACATTTGCATTTCTTTGCCTTCTCCTTTATCTGGGTGTGACACCGTACTGGTGTCTTCAGTTATTATTAATTATGAATTAAATAAATTTTAACGTGTTCATTTTTTATCAGTATAAAGAATCTTAAATAATTTTCAAACTGTACAGCATGCAAAATTCCTGAGAAATTAGTTTGTGCTTTACTTTAGGTAGACAGGAGGTTTCAAAAAGTTGACGGAAATTTTTAATTAAAAGATAGTAGAACTGCCATAGACTCCTGTCGACCAGTAGATAAGAGAAGAGGAAGGGCTGGTTGGTCTGAAGTATGGTGAAACCTGGGGTCTCCTGAGCCCATGGACAAGAACATAGCCACGGAGGGCTAGAGCTGAGAGTGGAGCATCCAGCTGATATGAAGTGAGGGGAGATGAATAAGAATGTCCAAACTTGCAGATAGTATCCATTTGACCTAGCCTCAATGGTTTGATAATCAGAACTCGACCTGTTGTTGTTGTTATATGCCATAGAGTCGGTTCTGACTCATTGCAACCCTCTACAGGATTTCCGACGCAATAAAGCTTTACGGGGGCAGAAAGCCTCATCTTTCTCCTGCGGGACAGCTGGTAGTTTCGAACTTTTAACTGCGAGATTAGCAGTCCAATTCGTAACCACTATCCTACCAGAGCTCCTTAGAACTCAAGTAGAGGAAGATAAAAAGAATTTGATAAAGGAAACAAGTGTAAATTACTACAATTTGATGAACTTGACCTATACTTATGGATGTAGTAGCTCAAAACACCAAATGAGAGGGTAGGAGTCTTCATCCTACCCTTTCTGTATGCAGGAGTGATAGGGAAGGG